TAATCGCAGATCAGTACGCTGCGGTGAACCTTCGGCTCCGACTATAACAGGCACGAGGTAATTACCAAAGCCCCATCGCAAGGTCACAGAATCCTATCAAGATCGATACCTGGGTGGGTGGCATGTTCAGGTTGATATGGCGCCGGCATGGCCAAGTCACGATTGGCATTCGAGAATGTTCAAAAAAAAAAAGTTTCGGCGGTACTTGCTTGTCAGGGCATGCAACGGGTGGAACAGCGGGTGCAAGGCGACCTCCCTGGAAGCGCTACTTGGGATGGATGGCGGTAGTTGTACCAAAAGCGACCCGTGAGACTTGCTGTGCAGCCAAGGGCAAATCTGGGAATCCTGCGTCATTTTGACTACACTGTGCTAGGGCGCTCTCTACAGATACATCATGAGGCAGACAGCCTGTAGGAATTTACGCAGGCTATGCCGGGGCGCTGGACGGTTCTGCCCGGGCCACTCAGCACCGAAGATTCGCGACTCTCTATAAGTCCAGAGCAGTCAGCATCAGGGTCCGTTTGCCCATTGAGCGAGCCAAGGCACCGCATGTCTGCGGAGACGCCCTAAAGCTATTGAGCGCGCAGTCCAAATTGTAGGGGCAAGAATCACAAAATGTGATCGTAGGAGTATCTGATCAGCCCTTCGCCATTCTCGCCGGAAGGTGGACATTTGGAACATCTACTCCGACCCGTGACGCGGTACCCGCGAGTGTCTGCGGGAGCGCCGTATCGCAGTGTGTGCAGACCATCAAAGCCGGCCGGCAGTAGAATTTGATGCATTGGAGACAAGAGTGATGGGATGAGCGGTGTTTCCGGCGGGCAGGGCGTGTACTGTTGCAAAATGCAGAGGTGGTGTGAACAAAAGCATAAATGCCGCCCTGTTCCGTCCGCTGATCCCCCAAATCGGCTGTGCCAGACCTCTGGAGGTCAACAATTCAACTCCTGTATCGCTGCATCAGGCCCTATCTCTGCACCATCACGATCACATACGGTCAGACATTTCGACCTCGAGCGAGACACGCCTGCGATCCCAACGCATCAAGACTTTGCGACAAGTACAGAACATGAAAGTGTCTGTTCTCGCAGCTATCGTGGCTCTGGCTGCTTTCTCGTCGGAGAGCGCAGCTAATGTGACCCACCGAGTCGATTGGTCCAAGCCCACGACATCCAATTGTGTCAAATACATCCAAGCGTTGAACAAGGCCGAGGCGCAAAGCATTTGGAACAGCCATTGCAGGTCGTACAATGGTGAAGCCCACGACTCAAGCTACACGGATGATGGGCAAGTCCGCAGTGACGCAGAAGCTGATTTCGTTCCCGCTCTGATGATCCGATCGCCAATCTTAATCCCTTCAGAGCTACTACTACCGCGAACGTAGACTGTATGTGAAATATGTTGTCCCACTGAGACCGGGTCAACCGCTTCATCTTCGGGCGTTCATTGCGCAAAAAAGGCACGAGTCGTTTGCACCATTTGCGTCTGCCGCGGCAGATGGTGCTTTGCTTTGGCAATTAGCAACCTAGGCTGTTGATTTTCCTCTTCCGATACACGATGCATTTTCTGCTTGCCCTGCGACACCGACTTGAGAGTCAAAGTCAGATGCGTTTCGGACGTCCAAGTCCGAATACCTGATGTTAGATAGTCACAGGGTCAGTAGAATTGAGAACGATGGTTCTCCGCTAGGGCGCTCCATCAAGGACAAACGCCTCGGCATAGCCCACTAGCGCGAGACGGGCCGAAGCAAATTCTAGTGAGCCACACTGACGCCAGACTTCGTCTGACGGCGCGCGTTGCGCTGGATCTGAGCCAAGGGCATCGCGTTCGAAGTATGCGGAGCCCAAGCTTGCTGCATGATGTGTCGCTCTCATGTACGAAGGTCCCGCCAAATGCTTAGCCATCGAATCATCCCTGAGCGTCGCATCGCGTGTGCTAACCGCGAAGAAGCGAGTATGACTGATGTATTGCGTGTAGAATCCTCGTATCCCGACGCTGTATGAGACCGGATATAAGCTCAAGACTTTGCATACGAGCTTTGACCCTCGTCGACGCTCTTTGCAATCCTTTGCTTCGCCTTTTAGGCCATCATTCCTCCTCCTGAGCTCCACCGCCGCTAAGCTTTGCAGCCAAATTCTCCCTGTTTCTCAAAATCTGTTCCTTCTTTTGCTTGATCAATTCCAATTGACGATCTTCGAGCCCATAAGCCCAATATCCAATCGCTCCAAAGGCGCCCATGAAGGCTGCGTGACCACCAAGACCTGGGTGGGAAAGCATGTATGCTAGGTGTGTCAGGACCTTTGGACTTGCGCTTGCAGATAGGTGCGAGGAGAAGGTGCGCAGCTTGCACGATTCATGCAGTCTCCAGCTCTGGCCAGGGCAAAGCCCTCAACACAAGAGTCCCTTCTCGCTAGCTGGTCTCTTGACTACGAAAGACGTGCGAAGTACTCGCGAAGAAGCGCGTTACGCCGCACGCGCCAGATGAAAAGAAGAGAGAAGAGCAGGAGAATACTCACCATCAAAGATGTTTCTCTTCTGAATAGCCAAAGCCCAGCACCTGGTCAAGAAGCCAGCTCCGGCCCATCCAGCTACCGTTCCAATAACCATGATGTCCGCCTTCGATATGATCGTCTCGTACAGTGCGGTTTGGAATCGGTCGCCCAGCAGGAATCCGTCTGTTGTTGATAGACGCGGTGGAGGTGAGGTCTGTCTTTGAATGCGCGGATCGTGAGGTAGAGCAAGAGTGTGTGCGTTGTGCTGTAGAACTGCTCGTTGGGAGCTGTTGGGCTGGTGGTTGGGTCAGAGTCCCGCCGTGTTGAGCGTCGCTACGAGCTACACCAATTCGCAACTGCTTATGAATCCGCAATTCGTGGCTCGTGGCCGACAGGCAAGTGTGAGTTGGTGGTGAGTGCCGACCATCTGGAGATTCGGTGGCTTGAAGGCCTATGCATGCATGAGTGTGCACGCCCGTCGATGTCCGTCCACGTGGCATCGTGACGTGCACGTCTGGGCGCGCATGGACCAGATGGATCCACAGCATCGATGATCATCGCGCGCCAGCCAGCCACCTAGCCATGTCCAACCCTCCTCATCCTGCATCCTCCTCTGCACCAATCATCTACCTTCCGCCGAGTAGAGCGCGAAGATTTCGGAAAGCGGATCGACACATCGCTTCAAGCACCTGGGAAGTCCTTGATCATACCTCAACACCTGTCGGTCTGACCCTAGTCACGTCGAGATGGCCCCGCCTGCAGCCACTGTAGCGGATGACGAATTCGATGATGATACCGAAGTGAGTAGAGAAGTATTGAGCCCCGCCTTGCAATTCTTCCCAGCACGATGTCTATTTCTGACTCGAAGGCATATGCGACATTCCCTAGTTCGACCTGCCATCCGCTCCGCCTTTCGGAGGACCTGGAGGTGGACAAGGCTTTCCCGGAATGCCGAGCTTAACGCCTGATCAGCTTGCACAATTCCAATCGATGATGTCGGGCGGAGGATCGGGATCAGGTTCTGGATCTGGGCCACTATCAATGATGGGAGGAGGAGGAGGAGCGTCAGGCGGGCCTTCGGACTTTGCACCGCAGGAAGAAGATGCAGAGTCGCACAAATGGGCTACCATTTACCCCATCTACCTGGATGCCAAGTGCGCATTCAGAAAAGGGGGAAGACGCACACCTTACGAGAAGAGCGTGCTCTGGCCTAAAGCGCAGGAAATGGCAAGGGCGGCTAGAGAGTTGGGATTGGAGTGTAGATTGCAGAGCTTGAAGAAGCATCCCAAAGATTGGGCTAATCCTGGAAGGATCAAGGTGAAATTGTGTGATGAGGAGGGAAAGCCTTTAAAGTCGAGCATTCCCACGAGTGAGTGGTCGGGCACAAGCTGGGCGAGAGGGACTTGCACAGAGCTGCTGGGAATTTGGAGTCTTACGTTGCGCGATCCTCTCGCCATTTGCTTTGCGTAGAACATGCCCTGCTCCTTGCGCTAGCGGGGAGGATTCAAGCAGAATCCGGAGGTGCGCCTCCCGCCTTGCCTAAGCAGCAATCGAAGTCTGCTCGAAGGACAGCTGCGTCGCAGGAGAGCAAAGGCGCATCGATTGCCAGCGGCGGAGCATCCAAGTCGAGCAAAGGTGCCAACAAACCCTCGCCCATCTCTTCGTCTTTCAAAGCGCAGCACGTCATCTCTTCCGTATCTTTGAGACGTTCCAAGTTGACCTATCCGCCTCTCACCTCGAGATATCCTGCGAATTCTCCAGCACTAGAGGTAGGCATGCTCAATGCCGACATGGGATCGATGTTTGGTGGAGGTGGTGGTGGTGATGGAGCAGGCGGAGGAATGGGCGGACTGGGGAGCATTATGGGATCTATGGGTCTCGGTGCAGGTGACAGTGATGATGAGGATCCACCTAGCAATAGCACTAATCAGGAAGGGACCAAACATCAAAAGAAGGATCCTATGGCTAATTTGAACAGGAAACAGAAAAAGAGGGTCGTCAGGATGACCAAGTAGCCTGAGCAAAGATCCTGCACGACCAACCAATGCATGAGAGATACTATAAAGGGAAATCCCTTTGGGAGATGCGAAGGGTACAGAGCGAGCGTGATGTGTGTAGAATGTTGAAAGGTGCGAGAGGTGATGCAAGTCAATCGTTGGCGTCTCAACTCGAACGTGTCTCCTTCTCGAAAGCGCTCCGACAGATTAGCGTTCACGACTCGACGATGTTTCAGGGGAGGCTTCGGATCCAAGGTCATGCCGGTGGGTTTCAGGCAGGAGCAACAGCGGGTGTCTCGATCCACCAGCAAAGAAATGTAGCTAGACGATATCGATATCGATTTGAAAGCTTGTCTACCTGTTTCCTTCTCAGCTATACAAATACAGTATAACGATTTTGACCGCCAAGGTAGGTAGCTCAAGCGTGTTTCTTGCCACCATTACGCGCCTTCTTTTTCTGCTCCTTTGTGCTCTTGGCGGCCTCCTTTGAACTTTTCTCTGTTGCAGCCGTTCCGGCCTGATCCGCAGAGCTTTGATGCGTCGCAAAAAGCACGTCTTCCCTTTCTCCTCCCTTCACAGCTTTGCCCTTCGCATCCAGCACAGGACGTCGAACCACGATCTCGATGCGCTCTGCCGGTCTTCGGAGAGCTTCCCACGACAGCGTCGCTTCTTCGAAGGCGAACATACGTTGGAGCTGGCTCATCTTGCCCGGCATAAAAGGTTTGAGCAGCGCGCTGACGACGCGTATAGTCTCGTGCAGAGCGTAGAGTATCATTCGACGCTCGGCTGGCATGAGGGTTTTGGACCACGGTGCCGAGTTCGTCATGAACGCATTGGCCTGAGGTGGTAGAGGAAGAGGTGAGAAAGAAAATGTCAGCAATGTGACCCACAAGGAACGACCTCGTGTTCTCTTTGAACACGCTTCGCTTTTGCGGTGACGATGAGCCAAGGAGACTAACCTCTCCCATCACGTCTGAGATGGCAGTCAAAACCCTCGCGGTCTCGTACTGCTGCATAGCCTGCTCGACGATGTCTGAGGGAAAAGAGCAAACAAGGCGGATACATCAGACTTGATCGCTTCAACCCAAAGCGAAGCTGGCCAGCGCTCGTCCCACGCGTGCATCTCACCAGGTAGAGCTGCGATCTTGGCCAACAAGTCCTCGGCCGACTCGTGCACCCGCACGCCTTCCTTCGCTCCATCCGATCCGTCTTTACGCAAGACCAGCTTCGCTTCGCCTTGTTCTCCTTCCTGAGAGGGCGCATGCTGCGCCTTTGATGCCGAATCGGCCCCAAGCGCATCAGAGAGCAGCTTAGGGCTCCTCAAGCGCAAAGCCAAGTTCCCTATCTGACCCGCTAAAAACTTTCGAATGTATTCTTCGGGCTTGCCAGGGGACCAGTCTGTGGTGTAGATGGTCGCGAGCGCTCAGCAGGCGTACCTCTTCAAGGCTCGGGCAGCGAAGTGTCATACATGCCGCTGCGTTGCGTCACTGCCAAACTCACCCGAATCGCCATCCAATCTACCTCCGATCCTCAATAAAAACCATCTGATCTCGTCCCGTCCGAACAATATCAAGCTCTCGAAAGGATCCTGAACGTTTCCCAAGCTCTTTGACATCTTTTTGTTGGAAGAGGTCCAGTGTCCATGGGTCACGATCTTCTCGGGAAGTGGAAGCGAGGCCGCTAGGAGCATGGCGGGCCAATAGATTGCGTGGAAGCTGTTGGTGAGTATGTGGGTAAGGTACTGGCGAAAAGGTCAATGATGGTGCTGAGGCGCGCTGGCTCAGGGAAGCGGTCGAAGAGTGGGCAACAGGCACATACCGGATGATATCTTTGCCAAGAATGTGAGCGTCTGCGGGCCAGGCACTGCTGGTGGGGACGTGCCCATCGTCCCACGGGTAGCCGGCAACCGTCAGGTAGTTCGTGAGGGCGTCGATCCACACATATATTGTGTGTTCCGGATCGTCTGGTACCTGTATGCCCCACTCCAGTCTGTTCCTGGGTCTAGACACGCTGAGGTCTTCCAAGCCCACTTCCTTGAGCTCGTTCAGCACTTGATCCCTTCGAGCGCTAGGCAATATGCACTGCGGATTCTCTTCGATCCAATGTATCAATGGTTCTTTGAAAGTGGAGAGTCTGAATTTGTAGTTGGATTCCGAATGCCATTCCACGCGCTGACCCGTCTCGATGGACTCGTGATACTCTTCTCCGGACCCTGATTGCACTTTACGAATCTGAGAATCGGTGTAGAAGGCTTCGTCCGAGATGGCGTACCAACCTTGATGTGAGCCCTTGTAGATGTGACCTGCGGCATCTAGTCGACGCTGTGAACACGTTGACCAGCGAGTGCACGCTCGATGAGAAGAGTAGACGCATACACTTGCAAACCTCTCGAATTTGCTCACCCATAGATGCTGGACAGCTTTGACATGCTTTTCATCAGTCGTGCGGATGAAAGTGTGTTGCATTAGACCAGCAGCAGACGCCAGTGACTGATCTCGCCCGGAAAAGGTAGCATGGCACGTCATGTGAGCCGAGCAATAGCCGATCAGAGCTCAGCGCGCCTCCTGTACCCAGATCTCCCATCAGCTGCATCTCTCTCTTTTGATCCCAACAAGCAGCCCTTCTCAGCCCTCGCGGATATACTCACTCTGAAGGTCCCACTGACTTGATCGCACATTTGCTTGGGATGTTCACCTCGCTGCGAAGCCGCGCGCTGCACCTTCTGACCATGCTCATCCGTCCCAGTGGCCAAGAGCGCATTTGATCTCGTCCCTTCCGCTCTGCTGTCTCTCGCTACTGGCGCACTCGTCCCGCTTTGATCTGCGGGGTCGTTCAACTCAAGACCTCCAGCATGCACATCCCCCCTTTTGTATGCGGCCCAGCGAGCGCATACATCGGCTAGGATCATGCTATGCAGATGTCCAATGTGAGGTGAAGCATTGACGTAAAAAATCGGCGTCGTTATGTAGTAGGGTTTCTGCATGGATGAGGAGGATAGAACAGAGTCTGCACTCGAGTTCGCATTCGATCGTGTGATGCTTGAGGAGCACAAATATCGAGCGTGACTCGGCCGACTCCTGAGCGCGACTAGTGAGTGACTGGACGCTCGCAGGGGTCGACCGCGAAATCGATGAGGGTACTCAGCAGCTGGTCCCAGGGCGGGACTAGAGCTTCTGTCAAATAAAGCAACGGAGCATGTTTCCCTTGGCCTGTTCCAGCGAGAGTGGCCGTCCACCGTCGATATACCCGATGCGCTGCCGTCCCGCCTGATGCTTCGTTGCGCTGTCTCCCATGTCGGCGTCCTGATGGAAGACCCAGCAAATTTCCACCAAATGCCTTGCCCCGCACTCGCTCGGAGTGTCGAAAGACCCATGTGCCTTGGAATGCTTTCGTAAAGGCAGAAGTTAGGAGCCCAGCCGATGCGATCCGAGGCGTTGATGGTAAATGATGTACGATTGCGCAAGATCAGGTATTCAAAACTGGAAAGTCGCCTCGAGACTTGAGGGTCAAGAGTCCTTGAGTCTGGAGCCTTCTTGTATCCTGTATACACGATAGTCATTCAAGATTGAATTTGAATGAGTCCATACGCCGCCCTCCACCCAGCATGCATTCATCAGATTCTTGACTCTTCCGCACACACTTCCAATTCACGTGATTCACGTGATTCAGGACTTGCTGGTGGCCGTTCGGGGCATGTCACGTGTCTAACCAAACGCGGCTTTTGCTATAATTCGCGAAGACTTGACTCCTCCATCCAACTCAGATTCGGAATAAAAAGTGAGTGCATCAAATGATCTGAACACAACGACGTGTAGCCTTGACTCCGAGTCCAGAATCATGGGGACCAAACTTGAATTACCATTCTTGATTCTTGTTTCTTGATTCTTGCTTTGCATCTATGCCTTCCCTTCGACGCTCGGAGTCGCACGCGTGGTCAGGATACCATTCGTGATTTGAATTTCTTTGGTTGCTCTTCCGCTGTGCAGCAATTAAGTCACCATGATAAATCAAATGCGGGCAGCAGCGTTGCTGGTGATGGCATCCGCGTGGATTTGGTGCGCTGTCTCCGAACGCATGCAGCTTCGCCGACTCACAGACTGCTGCTGTCGCGCGTACGTTGCATGTGCAGCAGGTGTGGCTGAACCATCGCCATGATCCACCCGCCGTGGCCGTGCGTGCGAGCGCATGGCACGCCTGATGCGAGAGCCTGCTGCTGCATGCCAGAGCTTTTTGGTTTTTTTGGCACGCGCCCCCCCCCGCGCGATGACATGCATGCATGCGCCGAGAAGGTTTTCTTTTTTGGTTTTTTTTTTTGAGATTTTTTGGTGAGGAAAGCGCGGCATGCTTTTCAGCAGTTTGAGTTCGTCGAGTGGTGAATGTTAGACACATGTCAGGTGTGCGTGCATGAGATGTGCCTGTTAATCTGAATTGAGAGTCGTGAGTTGATCAAATTCTTGAGCTTGATCTGATGAGGTCCTCACGGCTGCATGCTGCTGCATGTCGCCATACGCTTTCCGGCCGAAAAGAAGCGAGTCACAGCCAGTCAGAGTGAATGATGATGGCCATATGCTGCATGGTGGGTGAGTCACGAGTCATGCAGGCCCGTCAAGACATTTTGGATTGTGAGAAGCTTCGAGAGAGAAGCGCGCAGCACATGCAACAATGCCGCGACTCGCACTTCTCAGCCAGCAGCCGTCCACTCACCGCTTCTTCTCCACCATCGCTTTCCTCATCCTCACGTCTCTCCCACAGGCGCCTAATCACAAGCTATCAGACATTTGACCACTCACGCGTCTGATTTCTCCCCCGAGTTGTGTCTCACTCGCGCTCCCTTCCTCATCTCTATCATCAGCTGCCCAATTCTCTGTGCAACCCCCGAACATGGCGCATACAAACGGCAATGGAGCTCAGTCTCACCACACCCAGGCTTTCCATCGCACTTCCCTCTCCTTCTCACCTCCCACCTTCAATGGAGCAGGAAGTTTCAGCGGGATGATGGCGGCTCAAGCAGCCCACGTTCCCGTTCCCGTACCTCATGGAGCTGCGGGCGGACAATCCTTCTCGCCCACTTCTGCTTCTCCTTCTCATGGCCGCTCCATCTCCATCCCAGCAGGCGACCACGCCTCTAGACCCCGACTGCTCACCCCCTTCGATCAAGGGGACATCAAGATTCTTCTCCTCGAGAATATTTCTCAAGGTGCGGTGGCTTTGCTCAGGAATCAGGGCTACCAGGTTGACCATGTCACAAAAGCTTGGAGCGAGGAAGAATTAATCGAGAAGATTGGGGATTACCACGTCATCGGAATCAGGAGCAAGACGAGACTTACAGCCAAGGTCTTCCGAAAGGCCGCAAAGGTGGGTATGGACAGCAGAATGGGCGTGCGGAGAGCGGGAATGGAAGGGCGTCAGAGACTGACTACGCGCCTGCACCTCTTTTCATCTCGCACAGCTGCTCTCTGTCGGGTGTTTCTGCATCGGTACAAACCAAGTGGACTTGGAAGCAGCGGCCAAAGCAGGTGTTCCCGTCTTCAACAGCCCATTTGCCAATTCTCGCAGCGTGGCCGAATTGGTGATTGGCGAGATGATCTGCTTGTCTCGTCAACTTGCCGATCGCACGCTAGAGATGCGCGCCGGAGAGTGGAACAAAGTGTCGAAGAGCTGCTACGAAGTGCGCGGAAAGACATTGGGCATCGTGGGGTATGGGCACATTGGAAGTCAATTGAGCGTATTGGCGGAAAGCATGGGCATGAGCGTGCTCTACTATGATGTGGTACCGCTCATGCCGCTCGGAACTGCAAGGCAGGTGGATGCGATCGAAGACCTTCTTGCCAACAGCGATTTCGTGTCGCTGCATGTGCCAGAGCTGCCGGAGACGAGGAACATGATCAGCACTGCGCAGTTGGCAGCTATGAAGAAGGGCTCTTACCTGCTCAACAATGCGCGCGGAACCGTCGTCGATCTTCCAGCGCTGGTGGAGAGTCTGGAAACTGGACATCTGGGAGGCGCAGCAATCGACGTGTACCCCAAGGAACCGGCAGCAAACGGACCAAACACGTTCACAGACAACTTGAACGGCTTTGAGAGCCGATTGAGAGCGTGCAAGAACGTAATTTTGACCCCTCACATTGGAGGCAGCACAGAAGAAGCGCAAAAGATGATCGGTACGGAAGTGGCGACCGCATTGATCCGCTACATCAACTTTGGCGCGTCTACCGGAAGCGTCAATTTCCCCGAGGTCGCTCTCAGAGCCATTACGGAAGGAGACAAGGGAATGACGAGATTATGTTATGTGCACAACAACGTGCCGGGAAGTCTCAAGGCTGTCAATGAGATCTTGGCGGATTACAATGTTGAGAAACAGTCAAGCGATAGCTTTAGGGACTTGGCTTACCTGCTTGCGGACGTGGCCAACCTGGACCAGGCGGACCTGAGGGAGGTGTACGACAAGATCACGAAGACCAAGGCCAACATTCTGACCAGGGTGTTGTCGTAGGCTTGGACACCTTGCAATGGTTTGTAAGCTCCCACTCGCGCACTCGCCATCGACGGACGCCTTCAAGCCAAAATAGTTTCGGTATTGAAGCGCACTCGAGCTTTCCGTGCTGGCCCCTGACAAAACCCCATCCATCTATCCTAGACCGTTTGCACTGCCTATGAGGTCCCCTCCGTCTTGAATACTACTCATCCATCAAGTCGATCCTCTATCCGCCCAACTTCGAAACTTCATTGAGCATAATCAATGCTCCCCTCGCCTCACCGTTCCGATTGAGCAAAAGTTGGGGCTGATTTCCCCATCCTGGTCTCAATCGACTCAAACGTTATGTTTATATGTCTTGTACCATGGCCATCCCTTTTCCCTCTCTTTTCCTTAGCGCCTAGATCGCAAGATATTGATGCCTTCAACAGCAGAGCAGGGTAGTGTCGTTCTGACGTGATGTGGGGGGATATCAGAGCCGCGAGTGTTCGGGCAAGAAGAGAGTCGAGCCTTGTCTCTATCGAAGCTTTTGAGTTCCAAAATAAAAGTTGAGTAGGCTCGAAAGTAAGAGAAGACAAGAAGTCAGGCATCGAGCGTCATCATGAGGAGGTGAGTTGCTGATGGGACTCAACTCAAGACTGTCGCTGCAATCACGTAGTCACGTGTTCGAAAAGTCTCATCACGTGGAAAGGCGCATGCCTGCTGAATAAACCACCGCGCGCGAATCACGAATGCGTGACGAGGGCGTGAGGGAAAGGAAAAGTGCCGGGGCAGGCCCCCAAGGCTTGCACTCACACTGCTCGAAGGACTCAAGACCTTCGCATATGATCGTGTACATCAGCGGCGGGAAAGGCTTTCGATCGCTCTTTCACCTTGTATACCTGACCTGCCCTGATCTTTGAGCTCCCTCGAGCCTTCGCGCGCGGGCGTCGTCTTCCTTCACATCAGCTCCGAAAGGCGCTCCTTTACCTCGTGGGCATTGTCGGAAGGCGCACGCCAAGACTTGAGTGCAAAAGTTTGGGGCTAAGCCAGAAGACGAGATTTTCGCAAGGGTTGCTGCGCGCGGAAAGACTATCAAGCTATTCGCAAAAGGCGTCTTGGACGGACACTCAAAGGCCCTGCTTTCAGCAGTCGGGTCACTCGAGAGGCTATATACACCGGTGCTTCTCAGTACCTCGAACCTATCTGTGCGCTATGGCAGCTCCACCACCCGGACCTCCGCCTGGTCCACCACCCGGCCCACCTCCTTCCATCCCCGCCGCCGCCGCCGCCGCCGCCTCTGCCACGTCCACCTCTTCATCTTTCAATCCCTACCTTGCCCATCATGCCAACTCCAACGCTAGCAGCAGCAGCAGCACGATCAACGACACCACCGCCAATCCCCTCTCGGGCTTCATCCCTCGCAAAGTGGCGGGTGCGCAAGCGCGCTCTGTATTGGAGGGAAATATCAACCCCTTCTCCTCTACCGGTCTGAAACCCTTTTCTGCAAGGTACAAGAGCATCTTGGAAAAGAGAAAAGCTTTGCCCGTCTACTCGCAGATGGATGAGTTTTTCGAAAAGTTTCAGGAGAAGCAAATCATGGTGATGATTGGAGAGACGGGAAGTGGAAAGACTACACAGTGAGTCTGCCAGGATTCGGAAAGAATCGTGATGGTGAATTGTGATGGTGGGGAGTGCTTTGCTGATTGCGCGCTCGTTCAATCAGGATCCCGCAATTTGTGGCCTACTCGGACTTGCCGCACATGCGCAAGTCGGTGGGATCGGATGGCGTGCAGGCTCCGCTGATGATAGCCTGCACGCAGCCTCGGCGTGTAGCAGCCATGTCTGTGGCCAAGCGCGTGGCGGAAGAGATGGACCTCACGCTATCCAAAGAAGTAGGCTACACCATCCGCTTCGAAGATGCGACGGAGCGACGCACCACTTTCCTCAAGTACATGACCGACGGAATGTTGCTGCGTGAAGCGATGAACGATCACACGCTCTCGCGCTACAGCTGCATCATTCTCGACGAAGCGCACGAAAGAACTCTAGCTACGGACATCCTTATGGGTCTGCTCAAGGATGTGGCTAAACGAAGAGAAGATCTCAAAATCATCGTGATGAGCGCTACGTTGGACGCCTTGAAGTTTCAAAAGTATTTCAACGATGCGCCTCTCTTGAGGGTTCCTGGACGAACTTTCCCAGTAGAGACGTACTACACGCCCGAGCCTGAACCAGACTACCTCGAAGCTGCTATACGCACAGTGCTGCAGATTCATCAAGCAGAGGATGAGGGCGATATACTCGTCTTTCTCACGGGTGAAGAAGAGATTGAAGATGCCTGCAGAAAGATCAAGGCGGAAGCGGACGAATTGTCAGCCACTCAACCGGACCTTTGCGGACCACTGAAAGTGGTGCCGTTATACTCTTCACTGCCACCGGCAGCTCAGCAAAAGATCTTTGAGCCGGCTCCGGAAAGGTTGAAAGCGGATGGACCACCAGGTCGCAAAGTGGTGATCAGCACCAACATTGCAGAAACATCGCTAACGATCGATGGCATCGTGTACGTGGTCGATCCTGGCTTCTCGAAGCAAAAAGTGTACAATCCCAGGATCCGTGTGGAATCTCTGCTGGTTTCGCCCATCTCCAAAGCTTCGGCGCAGCAGCGCATGGGAAGAGCGGGAAGAACGCGTCCCGGGAAATGCTTTAGATTGTACACCGAAAAGGATTTCGTTGGAGAACTCATCGAGCAGACTTATCCGGAGATTTTGAGGAGCAACCTAGCTAATACCGTGCTGGAACTCAAGAAACTCGGCATTGATAATTTGGTCACCTTTGATTATATGGACCCTCCTGGTGAGTGTGGACGGCAGGAGCGATGATGTAGCGTGCATCGTCGTCGAGGCGATATGGAAGCGCTGTTCTGTCGGTCGAAGAGCGCGTGGAAAAAGAGTTCCTCGGGAGCGAAGGTCTTGCTGATATCGTAGTGGCAAGACTTACGAGCGCAAAAGAGCTGCTCCGGGCCACGTAGCAGATGCTTACCCTCACCATCTGCGGTGCATCCCTTCTCGCAGCACCCGAGACCATCATGCGAGCTCTCGAGCTTTTGAATGTGAGTCTCGCTTTCTTGCCTGGAGGTTTGGAGGCATTTTCGAGGCTGACCGGGCCTGCGACTTGTGCAATGCGCTTCGGCTGTCCCTTCCAACTTGCAGTACCTAGCAGCGTTCGACGACGAAGGCAACCTGACACCTCTGGGCGAGATTATGGCCGAATTTCCACTGGATCCTCAATTAGCCAAGATGCTCATCGTCTCGCCAGAGTTCAAGTGCTCCAACGAAATCTTGACCGTTGCGGCCATGCTGAGCGTGCCCAATGTGTTTGTGAGACCCAACAATCAAAAGGCTCAGGCGGATGCGGCTAGGAACGTCTTTGCGCACCCTGAGGGTGATCATTTGACCCTGCTCAATGTGTATCATGCGTACAAGAGCAGTGAGTACGGACACGACGAGACTGCACAATGTGCTTCACTCCACTTTGATGGGCTATGATCGCTTCGCTGAGTCCCGCGAGTGCTGACACGCACTTGTGCACCACCTTTTTTCCCACTTGGACGCCAAAGATTGCCCAGACCCAAGCACCGCTTCGAATTGGTGCTGGCAAAATTACCTCTCGTACAGAACCTTGCAACAGGCGGATAATGTCAGGTCGCAATTGAGCAGGACGATGGAGAGGTTCGATTTGGACCTCGTGTCTACTCCTTTTGAGAGCAAGAAGTACTACACGCAGATCAGACAGGCCATCACTTGCGGGTGAGTAGACACCTGTTTGGGCTCATTGGCTTTTTGCCAACGAGTCAAAAGAAAGCCTTGCTTAGATCAGATCGGAACTTGTCGCTTTGTGTTGCTATCCCCCCTTCCTTTGGTGGTGCTGCGCGCGCGATGGAATGCCCACAGGTTCTTTATGCAAGTAGCACACAAGGAGGCGGCGGGATCCAAGGGAAGCTATGCGACGATGGACGGACAAGTCGTTGCTCCTCATCCTAGCACCACCATAGAGACCATGCCCCAATTCTTGATCTACCACGAATTCGTCTTGACCACGAGAAATGTGAGTGCTTTGGCCGCAAAGTCTATCTGTGGGCTCCCCCTTCCTGATGGGGCAGACGCGTCAAGACACTTTGGGTGCGCATACTGATGTTTGCCCATCTTTTGTCTCTCCTTTCGCACTCCCTGTTCCTTCCCTTGTTCCCCCGACCCCTTGCGTTTCATCATGTCCACCCAGTTCATCCGCACAATCACAGAAACGCGCCCCGAATGGCTGCTCGAATTTGCGCCGAGTGAGTACGCTACGCTTTCTTCTCCCTAGCAGCCCGCCACTCCGGCGCATCTTTGCTTCTCTGCGCCTCCATCGCCGAGCACCCTATTGACTAGTCGCATTTCCCCAATGTCGATGCTCTGCTCTGCTTCACGACCGACCCAGCTTACTACAGCCCGGACAATTTGCCGGATGGGGAAGTCAAGAGGGTCATGCAGCGCCTCCTTGCGGGCAATGGATCGGGATCCGCGTCTAGAGAGAAAGATGGAAAATCTAGACCTAGCAAAAAGGTCAAGAGATAGGAGAGCAAGAAGGGGGAGAGGGACGCGCCATCAGGGGAACATTGACGAAGGAAAAAGCTCTTTGGAATGAAGATGCGTTGGCACACTTTTTGATTTCTTCCCCTTTGGGAAAGCAAATATTGCATGTGCGCATTCACATTGCTAGGTCTGATTTCGATCTGCATACGCGCGCTCCGCTGCGTGCGCGCAAGGTTGGCGCGGTTGATGCGATTGTGGGCTGATGATGCGCGTCAAACCAGAAGAAGCCTCAAGGTCACCTTTTGCCTTCTTCGCGATGGATGAAATGTTGAGGGGTCGATGCGTTGCACGACGCGCTGGCAAGACGCAAGCGTCTGCATCCGACGTGTCGATTCGAGGAGCTTCTGTACACCTCGCACCCACCTCGAAGCGACAAGGCGGTCCGGGTCCGGTCCGGGTCCGCATCCGGATCCGGATCCATGCTGAATTCCTTGCGCGGCCTTGTTCCTCATCGACTTGACCTGCAAGCAGGGGCTCGAATTGCATGTGCGAGCTTCATGGTCCAGAGAAGATGAGCGACGATGGGATGCGGAACGCTGCTTGGGTGCACCAGAAGCTGCGCAGTGCGGTGTGCTAGAACGAAGTTGGCTTGCTACGTAGACTGAACCGCACCCTTAGGCTTTGTCAAGCTAGTAGAATTTTGAACCTTCCGTGCGCGCGTTGGCGCGCTGCTTGTTGGCATTCCATTCGTGTTCGTTCTGTTCACGTACGAAGAGACTGCAGGTATGTCGGAGGTGGGTCGTGCACTGCGATGAGTCCAGCTACGAGTCCTGTCACGCTAGACTTGGGAGAAGCCTGAGGCAGAGGTTGGGTTTTGGCCCCGAAGAGAATCGAATCGCTGCGTTCGTCCGTTCGGAGTGCCTTGTGATTGAAAAGGTTGGAACGGTAGATCGGCCCAGTCTCAAGACAAGTCCATGTCCATCTCTTCCAAAGGTGTTTGCTCATTCATCTCGTCTGCGCGTGCTAAATTCCAGACCTGCTCCCAAAACGCTTCGTCCTCCTCCTCCTCCTCCTCAGAGTACGACGTCAAAGGAGCATGACTATCCACTTGTCCAGCTAGATTCGAGCTACCCTTGCCTCGAGATGCTTCTTCGAGAGATTGTTCGTATAGACTAGCCCAATACGCTTCTTCATCTTCCATTCCTGCTGGAGGTTGTGGTTGAGACTCGATCATCCGCGCTTGATCGTCTGTCGATGGCGAGGAGGGATGAGAAGGAAATGTGAGCAAATGGAAACGCGTGCATGGTCAAGAAAGCTTGCTGGACTCACTGATAGACTCGTCGTGCAGCCATGCCACCATGTCCGCGTCCAACCAGCCTAGCTCATCTTGACCAGAACGCTCCTGAGCTCTAAGCATGCGCTTGTACTCTGCCAACATTCTTCGGCGCAAGAGCTGAGCGTGTCATAGCCAATGAGTAAAAGTGGGAAACTTGTCAGCATGCCGCCTTCTTCGATGGCTGAAAAAGACAAGAGAATACATCCCGACGCTCACCTCGTCGTCTATCTTATCCTGCTCCTCATCCTCACTACCCAAAATCTCATCGCTGAAAAAGAGCGCCGAAGCTCTGCTACCATCTTCCTCTTCCTCTTCGCTCTGCGCATTCCCCCTCCCCGCAAGAATCGTCGATGATTTTCGTCTGGCTCTATCCAGAGCTCGACTTTTGTCCCGCTTCATGGCATCCTCGCATCTTTCCCTGAACCTCTGTCTGAACATGTTCCTGCTTTGTCCAGGCGACGCGTCCACTTGCGCTGCGTCGATCGGGCGCTCGCGCTCATTCTTTGAATACGCAAAGGGCGATCGACCGGGATTTGCTCGAGCTCGAGCTCGAGCTCTTGAAGAAGGTTTAGCTCGGATAGATGAGCTAGGACTCTCCCTCAGTCCGATCAAGGGATGGGCGAGGGAGGAAGTGCTGGCATCGGCCAAGGGAGACGAGAATGGGTTGGGTGGGATGGGCGCGCTTCTCTGGTGAGGAAGTGGGGAAGACATCATGCGCGACATTTCTTCCCTATTCTGTCGGTGGGTTTTCGTGCCAAGAAGGCCGATCGGTCTGCGCCAGATAAGCGGCGAGTCACGAGTGTTGACCAACTTCAGAGAGAGTGAGAGAGAGAGAGAGAGAGAGAGAGATAGAGAGAGAGAGAGAGAGAGAGAGCGCGATGGTTTACGTGAGCGTGTTTGATGTCAGAGGTGAGCTTGATCGGGTCGCTGACTTGCCCCGCCGCCGCCCTTGCTAGCTCACATGAAGGGAGGGAAGAATGAGGCAGCTTGTGGCCTTTTTGACGTAGGAGAATGAAGACAGACTCGAAATCGACTTGGGGAAAAGAAGTTGGAAGCTGATAGTCCCAACTTGCCTTCTCCTCCAGTGGGGCTTGATTCGACGTGCACTCGCAATGACGAGGGGCGCCGAGACGATGACAATCACGAACGTGCCCTTTGCGAGCAATCTCGCTCGCCAAGCTTGTCGATGGACGGCAGGGAATGGGGAATCGTGAATGAGACCCTTCAAGAAGACGATTGGACGACTGGACTGTACACTTTTGACTCTCGACTCTCGACTCCAACAAGCGTAAACGTTGCATCGCCGTGCAGCAGTGAGTCTTTTGAGTTCGCCACTTCAACCCTCGCGCCTCGACCCGCGCGTCGCGTCCCTTGCCGTCGCGCGCGACAAAACGTCAAAAATCAATTAAGCCACTCGTCACGTGAATCACGAATAGTTGAGTGGACAACGGTGTACAAACACGTGATTCAAGATCCGCGATGTCAAGACCCGAGGTTCTTGATGCAGAAGACAGCAAGCAGCATGTAGCCTGCTGAATCGAATGTTGATGCCCTGCCTCCTTCAACCCTGCTTTCCCTTTCATTCCCAGCCTCAGTGAAAGTGGATGTGTGTACGGATCTGCGGCTCGAACTCCGCTCGGAGCGGTCCCAGCAAGGGTCGCCGCGACGAAGAAATGCTCGGTCATAGCATCTAGCTCGTGAGCATCATTGTAGCGTCCTTTTGTCCAATCCCAACGCTTACGCCTCATCCCCTTTCCCATCTAGATCAACACGGCATCCTGTTCCAAGCCGCGTAGATTCATCACCCATCCATGCTCGGCGCAGTCTGCTAATGACTGTTGAGTCGACGTTTCGAAAATGTCGAACGCTCTGCACATAGACTATGGCTACGAAGGCTCTGTGTGGCTAGTCCCCGAGCTGGTTAGGAAGGACAGTCAGCATGTCAGATCCAGCCCAGACCGCACGAAGAGCAAGAGAAGGCGCACAAGCCGGCACTTTGCAAGTGAGACTGGGAATGCTGATGGACCTGCGTCGATGCGCACAAACGAGCCAGACTCTGACGACGGGTCCGGCTCTGGCTGCAGCTCGGCCTCGAAATCGCACTCCACTTCCGACTCTTTAAGCGAGCATTCGGCACGAATGAGTTCTTCTGAATCTCGCAACATGTTCGACGCGGCCCATTCGCTCGATGCTCATCCTACGCGTTCCTCCTTCCGTTTTGCGCGAAGGTGGGCCAGCGAGGAAGGCGATGCGCCAGATCGGAAATCATCGAGCGCTCGACGACTATCAGCCCGCACGTATCCGCTCTGTCTTCTTCCATCCATTCCCGCTTCTTCGAAAACCCATTGCCTCACAGGTAATGCCCTTCTCACCGATCCCGCAGTCTCCCTGGTGCCGTACGATCTGATCCAACAGTACTCTGCTCCTGATCTGCGTCAGGATGACCAAGCGGAACAAGCGAGGGGAGTCTGTTTGGTCAGAGCGCCACTCGGAGCGCATGAAAGGAAGAAAATTGCTTTCGGGGAGGAAGTCGATTGCGATTGGCTGATCTGCTCTGTGGGTGCGGAAGCGAGAGAGCTGTGTGAGTTCCTTTGCGAGCGCTTGCGAGTTCGAGGTGTGCAAGGACACAGGGCGCAAGAGGGTAGCTAGAAAGGGCAAAATGCTGGCATGTAAAGTCGCAATGCCTCAGATTAGAGGAATTGGAATGCGAGCCGGGGTCAGAGATGCCCGCCACGTGTAGCTTATGCCACCACATTTTCACTCTATCTTTGCAACAGACATTTCCACGCTGCGCTCGCCGGCCAGGTCAAGCTCCTCCAACCGCTCGTCCCACATACCACCTCGTCTGCCCAGCTACATTTCGCCTCATCCGATCCTGAGTCTGGAAACATGCGCCTCGCCACCGCTCTTGAGTCAAACGGACAATAAAGGTCCTTCATTGGCGATTCGAACAAGACTAGGTTGTCTATTCGTCAGCATCGTCAAGCCCACACGACAAGAGAGGGAAGCGGGATGCGCAGAATGGGTCCTTTTCAGAACCGCTTTTGTCTCTTCCCGAAGCACGAGCGCAAGCGCGAGCGAGAATGGATACGTGTCGAGGATGGAGAACGCTTCGCCATCCCTTGCCAACTTGGGATTAGGACTGGGCTTGGATACGCAACAGCACGTCATGGATTATGCGTTGGGAACCAGATCCGTAGTCGATCGTCCGTTGCTCATACATTCGAGGTACAATGTGGTGGATGTGCATTTTCATCCTTCGATCAAGGAAAAGGCACTGCTTGTGGATGAGCGGGGCGATGTGGGATTGCTGAAATTGGGTGACGCGGCCTCGTGAGTCTGTATGGATCACTATGGTTGGAGCAGAGAGACTGATTCACGCATTGCGCGCCCCACTGCTTGGCATGCAGACTACGCAGACCTAGGAGACCGGATGTATCGCTCGACTTTACGAGCAGAGTAGATGCGCCGCTACGTCATTCTGGCAATCCCGAGATTCGCTCAGATAGATCGCCATCGAGATCCAGATCCAGATCGCACTCTACTTTGCCCAGACGGATGCCCTGGAGCACCGTGCGGAGAAAGGACGATACGTGGTACAGGGTATGTTGGAAAAGTGAAAGCTCGTCGATCTCGTCCACAGCAGACTTGGGCACGCTGCGGTCGGGTGAGGAGGCGGATGATGAGGAGAGAGGAGCGGACGAGGAGTATGAGCAGAGTTTAGGGGAGGAGCCTGCTGGAAAGCATCGTCGCGTGATTGAGGATCAGGCTATCGTTGCTAGTCGATACGAGATCGAGAGCGTCGATTGGCGTGTGAGTAAGATGCAGAGGATCTGCGTTAGGCGATACTCTGTCCTTTTGCTTACAACCCTTGCACTCTTTGTTCTGCGGCATGCACAAAACCATTCTTTGGTGCATCTTAGAGCCCGACCCGTACTCTTCTAGCCACAGCTCAACCTCAGCATCTCGTTGTGCGCACAGAGCAATTCACTTCTGTCTTGGCAGAGAGTGATAGGCCTCTTTTATGGGCCAGCACGACGCAAAGCGTGAGACTGTACGATACCAGGCGATCCGACGTCGCACTGCTAGATTGGGCTCACCATCGTGGAGAAGATGCCAGCTTGACGCTGGGAGCTATGCCGGATCAACGTCGCGGCGGGATCAGCGCCGTACTGAGTTCTCAGAGGGATCGATATCTGCAAGTATATGATGCGAGGGAAGAAATGGTGCCGGGTGCATCTCCGGATGATTGGATCAGAGCTAGCACGACGGGCATGCCGACGTTTTTGGAATCGTGCCTTAAGCGCGCAGAAGCTAGATCTCGATACGTGCCGCTGTTTGTGCGCACTTCGACGTTGGGCAAGCCTTGGACCCAGCAAGACGATGCGCGTGTACAGCGTGTGGACATGGAAGAAGATGAGAATGCCAACGTGCACGAGAGACGGCCTGAGGAAGGAAAATCGTTCGCGGACAGGGTGGGGAGCGTACTCTGTGTGCAGCTCGATCGGGATGGCGCGGTATACGCACGTGGGTACAGCGAAGGCCTACATGACAATACTGCGAGCGAGGTGCGAATCGAGCCCGGAAGCAATGGTCGCTCTCGCGCCGAAGATAGCCATGCGCAAGAGGAGGATGGAATGAGCGCATGCGAGATCTCCAGCTCGGACAAAAGCGAGGCAGACTCAGCCGCTTCGCCGCAGGCCTTTGAGAAAGACTTGCTCGCGTTGACATCGAGCTCACACCTCGAACTACCGATAGACTTGCAGGACGGCGTCACGCGATCCAGACTTTCCGATCGCCGAGAGGGCGGTCTTCCCAGCGGCACCTCGACACCTATCTATGACTTTTCCCCACTTTTCAGAGCCCTTTTGGTTGAAGCGCAGAACAAGGCTGCCCGCGAAGCCAACAAGACGTATCCAATGGGGGCAAGAAAGCTGTGGAAGTCCAACAGTGGCGCCACGTTTGAACGGTTGCAAAGGGCTTGTACGATACTGCAAGATCTGCCTCTGGATGCAGGTATGGTCACTATGGCCGAGGTGTACAGTCGCACGACTCGCTTGGACGTGGAGGAAGATGCCTCCGTCGAGGCAGTGTTCATGCGTGACGAGTCGTCATTGGACCCCTCGGCGCTCAATGCTGCCATCCTTCTAAGGCCCGATCACGGGCAATCGAGCAGAGGCGCATCCATCACATCTCGACATGCTCAACTAAGACTCTTTGCAAGTCGCCAAAAGCTTGCGGCTTTCTTCAATGCTTTCGAAAGGGACTTGTGGACCTGCACCAGCATGCCGGGTCTTTTGGGACATTTGTTCTGCCCCGAAATGAGATTGATCGAGGAGAAGAAGCGGGCAAAGGAAAGGAGGAGGGTTGGAGAGCACGAGGGATTTCTGAGAGAAAGGTCAGGCTCGGGACCTAGATCCCGATCTAGGTCCGTCTCGCTTCATGCATCTGGCTCCTCGTCCCACGATCAGACCAGGTTTGACCTTGTTCAGCATATCAACCAGGTGGCGGACGAGATCGCGCAACGACGCCATGTTGAAGGACACGTCAAAGGAGTCGACGCCGTCTCGCAAAGCGTCCGCACTTCGGCTGCTCAAGTTGCGTTGGACCTCTGGGCAGCAAGTCAAGTTGGCAGCAGCAAACGTGTCCAGGTGCCTCTGCCGCATGACCTGCAGGAAGAGCTACAACGACAATGGGAAGATGAGGCAGGGCAAGCCCGAGCTTTGGGCAGCAGACCATCTCTCGCTCAGAGCATCGAGGAAATGATGTCCAGAATGGAGCACGGACAAGCTGACTCTACGCGAAGGCGGGAGCAGGCAGGAGATTTGCAAGCACTTGCACATGCTACACAAGCTGGGCAGGCGCACGGGAATGGATCTACAGAACCTCCGCCGGTACGATTCGCCTTCTTGACGCCTCGCGTCTCTTCGACCAGAGCAGCACAAGGTGGAGGTACGACGACGCTTACGGCTCGTCTGCTTCTGCAAGATTGGGAAGTAGGGACGCATCCTGCCGAGTACGAATGGCGCAATCCTTACGCTTCGATCGACGGGGAAGAGGAGACGGATGCGGAAGCTGGTCTGTCTAGTGGGACGGAATTTGTCGCTTCGTCAAGAAGACGCTCCGCAGCGCCGTCGGCTTCGATGGCACCGACGGACTGGGATCGCGTACCTTTCAGATCAGATGCGATCGGACCTAGATCTAGCCTGGATACTTTGAGCAGGCGCGTTCCCGCTGCTTTGCCACAGTCCCAAGTACACGCGAGATCGGAAACGGTGGCGCAAAGCGCACCTTATTCGTCCACACAGCCTTTGCCTGCTTCATCAGGCTGGAGCGCCAAACTTCCACCTGTGCTCAGTGCACGTGCATCATCTGGAGTTGCTGCAGCCCCATCGCCCAATCAAACGCCATCGTTGCCGCAGACCCAGTCTCAGGTACCTGGTGTCAGCCAGTCAAGGATTGCTTCGCAGACACCCAAACCGTTCGGATCCCAAAGGCTCGCCTCGCAGAAGCCCAAGGGTAGAAGGAGCGGCTTTTGATCAGCAGGACGAAAGAGGCTCAACAGACCTCGCACGTGGTAGGATGGGGCGCACATGCTGTAGAATAAGGATCTTTACTTTCCAATGTTCTCGCCTCTTGTGCTCCTTTTCACGTGTGCATTTCATCACGCAGCAGCAGCAGTAGGAATGTCGCGCTGCTTGGCTTGCATCGGTTATCGTGCTTTCAAATGCCAACGAACGCTGCAGACCCACTCCCTCAAGAATGCCGGCCTGGACCTGATGGCCCGCTGCGGACCCTACTTTGCTTGTACCCATGCCTTCCTCGTGACTCACACTCTGACTGAACACATGCCACCTACTCGACGATTGCCAAAGGGTGATGATGGCTATCACACATGCGTGTGCTGGCTGACTATAGCTACAGTAGCCTCCTGCAGCAGAGGTCCTTGAGAGCTGCATGCATGCCGCAATAAAGGTAATTCCGCGGCTCAAAACACGTTTGGACGCGTCAGTCAGTCAGGCGTTGGGCGCGCGCGATAACGCGTAGATTTCCTTATCGGCAGGCGGGCAGGCAGGCCGGCGTCTTAGCGATGCGTGCGACCCTGCAGGCTTGCTGCTTATCGTGAGCGCTGCACAAGCGGGTACTGTACGTTCGGACAGAGCGAGTGCGAGTGCGAGTCACGGCTGAAGGATGTGTAGAGTGGATGGTGATTGAAGTGGCGTGCAAGCCCCTGATGAGTACCTGACCTGATCAATGGACTGTTTATCATTTTCAATCCACAATTGAACAATCAAGGTGGGGGCGCTTGCTTAAGATGAACTGGGGGGCATGGTCAAATTTTTGGCTCCCCAATTCTGAATGCGCGCCTCTGCTATTCATTTTGTGATCGAGACGTAAGGATTCTGATTGGCGTTTGGGCGCGTCCGACAAGCGTGATCGAAGGGCGGTGTCGAGGGTCACACGACACGACCCGCGGGCAGCACAAAAGATAAGCCGGACGGATGCGGTGCAAGGGGATTCGAGTGGATCGCCTCTGATTGCTTGGCGCCGATCTTGTCTCCCAGATCCACTCGACTGCTTTGAGATGGGATCACCTTCACATACTCGACTCATCCAAGCACTTGCTTGATCTCGCTTGCTCACACCATCGACTTGCTTCACTCATCACAAAAGCCACAGCAGATCAGCTCGACCTTTGGATTCAAAGCAAAAAAAAAAAACGGGCGATCGAAAAGCGAAGCAGATCCAAAGCCAATCATGTCGCAACCTCTCTCTGTTCATTCGAAGTCCAATGGCAAATCGCTCTACAAAGACGTACCTCGTCGTTCTTCGCTTCCCCTGCACACAAAGACTCTCCTCCTCTCCCTCGATGCCGCTCAACGCATCTTATGCGCCAGCGCAGGCTTCCTCTCTTGCTCTCTGGTCGCTGCACCGCTTGTAATCTTGCTGTGCCTTGCTCCTAGATGCAAAGCGAGGGACTGGATAGTCTGCGAGTTCACACAAGGTGAGTGCCGCCACCTCGTTGCGCGTCCCCATTTCCTCTCATCGACGCTCTCACCCCTGCAAAGCCTCTCTCACACACACACGCTCGCACACGCTCACACACACTTAACATTCGCAGTGAGCTGGGATTTCATGGATCAGATCGAAATTTTCGAGGAGCACGATTTCAGTCGCATGTTTCTACAATGGATCTGCCGCAGTGCAGCAGCTCCTTCTTTCCTACAGAGATGCGTCCTAGGCGCGGGACTTTGCCCGACGTTCGCAAGCAGACTGCCGGTGGCTGAAGAGCATGACGAGCATCTCCTTTCGAGCTGCAACGAACAGCAAGAGCAATCGTTGAGAGTTGCGAGCATCGAAAAAGACGCGAATTTGCTGATTGTTGAAGAAGGAGAAGAGGAGGAGGAGGAAGAGCAGCAGCACAAGCGTGGAGAAATTGCGCCTGCGCTCCACTCGAATTTCACTATGGATTGTAGCAGGGACCGAATTTCTTCGCGTGAGCCAAGAAGGACGCCTACGGTGGTGCATGACATTGGAGATAGCAGAGAGGGCAGAAGCACGTCGTGCAGCCGTGCGGAGCGCCGTGCTCCCCGTCCCCACTCTCTTGTCAAGAACGACTCGGGCTTTGCGCTGGAGGTCGATTCGCCCTGCGCCAAGGCTGTGTCGTAGAACGTGCGCGCGTGGGACTCTCGGTGGAAGCTGGTTCCGCCTGTGCTTGTTGGTGCCTATGTATAGATCGTCCTCGACCGGTATACCCAATAGATGTGAAGTTCAACGCAGGCGATCAGGCAGGGCAATCAGAGAAGCGACTCCCTTGCGCATGTCGTGTTGCACCATGATGAAATCGCATGTCGCACAGCATCCTCGATCCAGCGATGCTCGTCACGACATGTCCAGAATGAGAGAAAAGAGGGCAACGTAGATGGCGAGTACTAGAACGGTGACGAAAGCGACTACGCCTCCTGCCGTTCTAAAAATGGGCGAGAGGACGAGAGGAGCGTCTCCACGTGTCCTAGCTGCATTCACCGTTCTGCTCCCTCCTGCCGTCTGATCAGGAATCTGGAGACCAGCAAAAGATTGGGAGCGTTCGAGCGAAGGCGTAGGTGGGAATCTATCCTCCATCGCGGGTCTTGCTGGCGTAATCGTAGCCGTGCTACTTGAAGGATCTGATACGTCTCTCGCATTGCTCGTCGTTTCAGCGCGTGGGCATCCAGCTCCTGCGAACTGCGAGAAGGAACTGCTGCCCATCTCTACGTTGTCGCACTTCTCATTCTGAAGTGCCAAGTTGAATCTGTAAGCTGCAGCGCCTACAAAGATGAGCGCTAGTGTGGTGTACGCCACGCTGTAGGTAATCGCCAGACGTCGTCGTGGGTGAGCATGAAGTCTCTGACCGGACGTGCGCGTGTGACAAGACAGGTCCGTCTCGGAGACTGTCAGAGGTGACTTACCCGACGTAGTAGAAGCGTGTCTGGAAGAGACGCAAGATGACGAGCGCGAAAACTAGTTCTCCTAGTGCTGTGCGCATGTAAGCTCCGTCCTGTGCGAGCCGCAAGATGAGATGGTGGAGGAAGGCGACGCATTGTCGATGAGAGGAGGCTCGAAACTGGTCATGATCGAGGTAGCCGCGCATCTAGCTAACACCTGCACCATTTTCCCCATCCCAACATCGAACTCTTCAAACGCACTTTCCCCGCCTGCATCTGAAAGTGAGTACATGAACACTCACAAAGGTCCTCTGAACAGCTCTCAAATCCTGCAATTCATCGTCTGTAAGATTCTGAATTGTTCTCGACTGTCGATTGGAAGCGCGGATCGAAGCTGAATCTCCGTCTTGGGATCGCAAGGCAAAAGGCGCGAGGGCAGATTTGGCTGTTGCTCGGCGGTCAGTTGTCGAGTCGAGCTGATTGAGTGATGCGGCTGGATCTGTCTGAGATGCTGCGCTATTGCAAATCTCTGGAGCGAGAGAGGGAGCACGCTCGACACTCATGGCAGATAGACCTGGTGCGTCGGTAGTCATGTTCGCAGAACCTATGGTCCCTCACGAATCCTGGCTAACAGCTCGATCGCGACGTGCGGAGATTGCAAGATCCTCGCTGGTCTTGCTCTTCCTCTTGTCTTGTCGAGTAGGTACGTAGGTGTGCGCATTCATGCTTGATGGTGCTCTCGAGAGTCCCGCATTCACACGCTGAATGATCAGCAGAAGGATCAGACAGAGGGGCCTCTTTTCACCTCGGTGAGACTCTTCTCATCTTCGAGGCTTGGCTTTTGATGATGGGTCTGTGTGAGCTGCGCTCAAGTCAATCTGTTGGCTGTGATGGTGTTGGGATCAGGACTAGACGTCAAACCCGAGGCTGACATGACCTTGATCTTCCGCGTCTCGATGGTGCTATGAGTCAGTAGTGAGTGCCGCCTGTGCATGCATGCTCTCGTTCAAAGGTGGGAGAGAGAGGTCACGTGCTCTGACGCGATCGAGATGGCGGGGCATGCAGCAGGTGCAGGTCAGGTGCGTGACGCGTGCAAGACCGTCCGTCACGAGCTACAGGTCAAGAGTCTGCTGATGAGTCGTGAGTGTGAGACGGAAAATCAAGCAGCTGCTGTCACCACCTGCTTCAACACCAACACCAAAACCAACACCACACCACAACCTGACGCTCGAGCAGATAGCCACGCTCCGCGCTAAGGATGGTCTCGCTTCCCCATTACCCACCGCGCCTCTCAGAGCAAGGTATCGCCACGCTCTCTCTCGATTCTCAAGACTATGCCTTTTCTCACAACTTGCAATACCGACCCGTCTCATCGGCGTCAAGTCGAGCTTCAACTTCCGCTCCGAGCACAACATCCACCATTCACGCTCCTCATTCGCTCTTGCCCGTCCTTTTCCCTCGACATTTGTTCAACAAAGCTCAGAGGTTGATGAAGGATTATTCGACGCTTTATGCGCGGGTTGCGAGTGATCAGGAATGGCTCAAAAGCGTATTGTACAAGAGCAAGGAGTTTGATACTTTTGCACAGAGACTTTGGAGTGTGTGGGATGAGAGCGAGGAGCGGGACCAGGTACGTCGCTTCTCGGCAGCTGTTCAGGCTTCTTGTGCCACGCTGATCGTAGCCGCGTCCGCTACCGGCTTCTTCTTTTGCCCACTCGCCTTGTTCGACCCGTGTATGCATACACTCGGCAGCTTCATCTCGGCTTATTTCGATCAGACTATCTGCTGCATGATCCCGCAGCTACGTCGGCGCAGGACCAGGTAGACGTGTCAAAGTTGGAACTGAAGCAGGTGGAATTCAACACGATAAGCGCTAGCTTTGGACCTTTGGCGGGCGTCGTCAGCAGATTGCATGCGTGAGTGAAGCTGCCTTCTGATTACGATTGCGACTGACGGGATATACGAGTGGACTGGGGGGGGGGGGGGGGGGGGGGGGGGGGGGGGGGGGGGGGGGGGGGGATGGCGACAGGCAGAGCTGCTTGCGAGATCACTTTTGGCTAAATGAAAGTTCGCTTGGTGGCCTGAAACCGCAATACAGACACGCGCAATGGCAGCATCCCGATCTCTTTCCCGCAAGCGCTACCATACCTCCCAACGAAGCACTCTCCACTCTGGCAGGCGGCCTAGCGGAAGCGCATCGTCTCTACCTGTCCCAGTCTCAGCTATCAAGCTCAGTCTCCTCCACCTCCTCATCGCAGCGCGCTCAGACAAGCATCCTGTTCGTGGTGCAAGAAGGCGAAAGAAACGTGTTCGATCAACGTTTTATCGAGTGGGAACTAGCTCGAGCTCACGGCATCAGGGTTGTGCGTCGGACATTTGAGGAACTGTCGACCGAAGCAAGGATAGACTCGTTGGGCGCTCTGCACGTTCTACAAGCCGACCTGCTCGATCGGCCCATCTCCGACGCCGAACGAACCAAAGAAGCTCAAATTTCCGTAGTCTACTACCGAGCTGGTTATTCTCCCGATGATTATGTCGACTCGACGGGAGACGAGGAGAAAGCTTGGGCAGTGCGATCAAGGTTGGAAAAGAGCAGGGCTATCAAGTGTCCTACTGTGGCGTTGCAGATGGCGGGCGCCAAGCGCGTACAACAAGCTCTGTGCGAAAAAGGAGCAGTGGAGAGGTTCTTGCCGGATCTTGCCTCTGCGAGGATCGAAGAGCTTCGAAGCACGTTTATGGGAATGTGGAACTTTGAACAGACTGATGACGCCGTCTCTACCGAATTCGAATTGGAAGCGCTAAGATTGGCGAGAGAAGAATCGCACCGGTTCGTGCTTAAACCGATGAGGGAAGGAGGAGGGAACAATATCTATAGAGATGATATACCCAAAGCTTTGAAAGATGGCCTCAATCCTGCGGCGTATGTCCTCATGGAACTCATACAGACTCCAAGAGGCGCGAGGAGCTGGATGTTGAGAGCACCACCCGGCGGCACTAGGGATGAAGAAAGCGGCGAGGCGAACCGGAGTGGCACGAAGGGTGGAGCTGTAGTGGCAGAAGATACGGTCAGCGAATTGGGAACGTACGCTTCGGTCCTTTTCCGCTCTCGATCTCGCTCTGCCGCACGCGCGCAAATATCGAAAAGCTTGGATGCAGCTGCTGCTGCTGCTGCGGCGGCAACGGCGGCGGCGGCGGCGGAACAGGCAGAAGAGGGACAGAGTGCGAGGATGACGCAAGAGGACATGGATAGGGACACGAGCAAGAACAGCAGTAGCAGCAGCGCGGATATCTTGTACATGCAGAATCGGGGTCATTTGATCAGGACCAAGGCGAGAGAATCGGATGAGGGCGGTGTGGCCGTCGGATTCAGCGTCATCGATAGTCCGCTGCTCATCTAATCCCGCACACACAATCGAAGCACATTCTTGCCCCATGAGCAAATAGACGGGGGCGAGGGAGGGGGGGGGCGCTCGAAAATGTCAAATTGGAAAAGTTTGACGCCTTCGATTGTTTTGACGATCATTCTGAAAATCTTCAAGGCCGAGGAAAGGCTTGCGCCAAAAGAAAAGGGGGATGCGTTTGGCGCCCCCCAAGTATTTGAGAGGGATAGAGGTGGAGGGGGATGTGCGAAGTAAAGTCCAAAAGTGATGCGTAAAGCGCGAGTGCAGTCACGGTATGGGCGGAAGTACGGGGAGGAGGAGGAGAGCACAAGTAGGGGGGGGGGG